CCTCGATTAAATACAAGGTATAGTTCTATAAATTTCACACAGGGATGCTCTTCAGGGAAAATACAAGTTTCATCTATAACAGTGATGGCCAACTTTTTCGGCACCGAGTGCCCAAACCGGAACATGCATGCAAGTGTGCGTGTGCGTGTGCCAGAGTGCAGGAAACCCAAAAACCAGCTGGCTGGTGCGCATGTTCATGCCAGCCACCTGGTCTTCGGGTTTCCAGCATGCACATGCGTGCCAGCCAGCTGGTCTTTGGGTTTCCGGCACTCCGGCATGCCCGGAGACCAGCTGACCGGCGTACATTCACACGCTGGACACCAGAAGAGCAGCTGGCGATGGCACACATGCCCACAGAGAGGGCTCTGCGTGCCACCTCTGGCACGTGTGCCATAGGTTCGCCATCACGGATCCAGAAGAATGAAAAATCCTGACAAACGAGAGTTGACTCTGTAATAAAATATTCTATATTCTATATAAAATATAGACTATAAATTCTGAAATTGACACAAGAATAGACCAAGTACCAAGGGATGATGACATGAAGGGTCACTTATAAACTCTGCTTCCCCAAAGAACCGCGTAGATGAGAAAGGAACAATTGTACAAAAACCAACTACAATGCAATCTATGCTACAATCTATGCTAAACATATGCTTTAGTCAGAAAACTGACTAAAATAAACCCAGCTGCAATTAGAGCCTTCTAGCCACTCCTATTTCTCCTGCAGCTGCAAAATGCTCACACTTTACAATCAATGGACTTTGCCTCAGATTCTTTTTTTCATGTACTTATTAAGCACCAACTGCATCTTGCAAAACTATCATTTTCAGAGGTGATATACACACACACACAAAAGGAACTTGCGTGAGGTAAGGCACTTAGAACAATCATTCCTTTGAAACAGAATGATTCTCAACTGAGAATAGGCCAGGATATGTAGCCTGTCATCTCCAAGATGAATATCATGAAACATGCAAATGGATAAGGCTACAAAACTGAACAGAAATAAAATGGATGTTATTTCCTCGCTTCCCCCCCCCCTCCTGCTCCCCTCCTCCCACCACCTTCCCAACCTTCCAGCCATTACTACTAATTGTTTCATGAAAGAGATCCTGGAAAAGTTCAAAACAGGAAAAGGCAGACAAGATCATTCTCACTTGACTTTTCTTTCCCCATTATCAGTAATTGGCCTTTAGGCTGGATATACTGTAGGCTCATTTAAAATAACAATAATAATAAAAATAATACAAGTATTCTTTTTATTTCTAGTGGTCTGCATTGCTTGTTACCTTATCAACCCTATCTTGGGGTGGAGGGGTGGGGTGGCAAACTGATCTTGACTGATACTGAAAAGCTGAGCAGTTTGGAGCCTCTCTAGATGAGAGACAAGAAATCACAGAACTGGGGTGATAGCCCTCCTGGGTAAACCAGACAGGAAACACGACTAGTTGATGTCCCAAAGGTGCTTTTCCAGGAGGCAACTGGACTTTCTTGTTTTTTCTTTTGCAGATGTTTCGCTTCTCATCCAAGAAGCTTCTTCAGCTCTGACAGGATAGTGGGGAATGGAAGGATTTATATTCCTTGCAGACAGCTGGTCATTTGCATACTTTTAGAGGGTAGCAAGCAATATCAATCCTTCCATTCCCCACTATCCTGACAGAGCTGAAGAAGCTTCTTGGATGAGAAGTGAAACATCTGCAAAAGAAAAAACAAGAAAGTCCAGTTGCCTCCTGGAAAAGCACCTTTGGGACAACCATGACCTGGATGACTGAGAATCTCAACAGACGACTAGTTGATCTAACTCTACTTTACTGTATGGCTACATTAACTTGAAGGAACAAGCTTCCCATGGCCACTTTTTAGTGCTTGATCCATTAGGGTGGGTCTTTCCCAAGTTTCTTTCTTTGACCATTAAGCCAATGGGGGCTCCTGCCTCTCTTCTCTGATTGTTTCCTAGGCAGCATCACTTCCTCTTGTCCCCCAAGATCATCCACACATTCCATTACAGGTAGGCCAGACTGAGAATTTGGGGGAACAAATCCAAGTAGAAGGCAATGGAAAGCTGTTGCTCTAGTGTTGCCAAGGAAATAACTTGGATGATGATGATGATGATATCAATATAGAATACTTTATTTGATGAAGTTAAGTGCCTTACAGTCCAATTAATTTTGGTCTCATAAATTGAAAAACATGTTTCTTCCAAATCAATATTATTTTTAAAAATGTTCTCTCTTTTCTGGATGATGTCCTGAAGTTGTCAAGGCACTTTAAAATAAAGACCCAATACTATCATCATAGGCCCCATGCCTGTTTCATCATGGTCTTCAGAATAGCTCAGGTAAGTCAGCCAAAAGAAAATCTATCAACTTATTAATTTTTAGCCATCCCACCACAGTCGCCGGCAATTTTGATTGCTATTCACATGATGTCTTTAAACTCAGGTTCCAGAAGGCACTTAACAAATGACCTACATTAAGCTGGTGTCCCTACCTGGGATGGTATTTGGACTTCAGCCAGGTATCCATTATATCACTGAACATTTAAGGAAAATGAATCACCTAGGCTACCTTTTTGTGCTGTAAATCTTTAAAAACGCATCAGGAAAGTTGTCTCAGAAAAAAAAAAGCAAAGAAAGTGAAGTTGTCGCCCTGAAGCTAAGAGAACAAAATGTTCTTTCTACCATCTTTTGAAAAGGAAAAAAAAAAGAGTTCTGTAACAAGGGCATAATCTGTAAATATTTCTAAGTCCTCCTGTTTTTACCGGATGGTGCTGAATTATGCCGGCTCTGTGTTGTGCCACTCTACCCTCTGATGATAAACAGCCATGCATCACAGCTTTGTGTTCTGCCTGCCACAGGCACAATACTGCTAAATTAATAGTTAATTCAGAGAACTTGACTGTTATATTACCTTTGGAATTAGAAAATGAAAGCCTTGCTGTCATCTACCTTGAAGGGAAATAATGTAGTCTCCCCATGGATGATGAAATAATATCTTGGAATCGTTCCCATTAAAATCTGGGGCGCTTGCTTCCAAAATAAATGTGCATTTCCTATATGCCGCCCAGAGGCCTTGTAGGATAAAGGGTGGCGGTGACATATAAATATTTCTACATATGTATGCATAAACAAATAAATATACTGCCTATGACCCTGCCAAGTGTCAGACTAGGCAATGCCTTCCAGGTATTATTGTTTTCGTTTTTGTGCATCATTTCTTTATATAGAAACAATTTCTAGTTTGCATAGTTAGCATTTAAGTATGACAGTGTCTTTTTTTTTTTTTTTGAAGAGGAAGGTTTAAAAACAGAATGAATGAATAAAAAATGAACACCATCTTAAAAAATCTCATCACTTAGAATTAAATGCATATTCTATTTTATTTCTGTAACGTTCCAACAAAAATGTCTTCCATACACGGGTCATTGTTGTGATGCTTTCTGACTAAGTCAACATTCAAAATTTGGCTTGACAGATTTTTTTTTTTAATTTTTTTTAGTAAAATGAAACTAACCAGCATGGCTTAATTTAGCATATATGTTTTATGAGGGAGGGCTAGTTTGGTGAAGTGGTTAAGATGCCGGAGGAAAAACAATTTAACTGGATTTGCCTTGGGCCAGCCATTCACAATCTGATTTACCTCACAGGGTAGGTATTATGAAGAAAATAAGGGGAAACACCACCTTGAATTTATATATGTACATACATACATAGGAATAGAAATCTAATAAATTGATGTCTGAATTGCAGAGATTGCATTTATTCAAAAAACAAAACAAACCTCAGCTTGCTGAACAAGAGTTGGTAATTGGAACTCACCGCTGATTTTCCTTGTAGCCCAAGAGAAGGGATCTTATCACAATGCAAGAGTTCAGCATAGGAAGAAATCCAGATCATTGGTCCATCTAAAATAAATCCTGTTACTTTTTGTACAACATTTGTTCTCTAGCCTATCTGAACATGCAGACATGACTTCCCCTATTGATCCTTGGTGAGGCTGGCTCTTGTTATTTCCATTCTGATGAGCTTTATTCTCCCTTCTGGAAACCAAACATAATTTTAGGCTTATATCTACCAAAAAATGCTACTGAAGCATCAAAAGAACAATACTCTTGGCTCTGTTCCTACCAGAATCCTATATCTCCCTGAGTTGTCCATGAGATACAAGAATATTTGAAGGTCCAATCTGAGTCAGTCATCAGGACCACAGGTTTATTCTTCCAAGCTTTTGGACTCTTGCTGGTGGGATAGGGAATTTTATTTCGAGCAGAAGATTTGAGTACTCTTCTGGTAAACTATCTTTGGACCTCTCTAATGTATTGATGTCTGAAATACAGTAAGAGTTCCAGGCAGGTCTGGCAAAGGTTTTATAAGCCCTAGTTTGAAGTATAGCGTTACCAGAGAGAAAACTTCACAAAATAAGATTGACAACTCTTAATGCCTTTTTTGCAATGATGTTATAGTGAGCTCTGGGACTTAGATCTTTTGAAGTGAGTACTCCTAGGTCCTTGACTGAGTGTGGGTCAACTTTTAGATCGTTTCCAGCCAGCAAATATTTGATGTTCTTATTTCTATTGCCAATCTTAGCTCCTTCTCTTAAAATGTCCTCACATGAAATCAATAAAACAGATTGTGATTTTATTTTATGGAAGTAAAATGTGATCCCAGCCTCCCAATAATCTGATTTCATTGACCCATTGAATGGTCTGTATTTTTTCAGTAGAATCCATGTATTTTTTTTCTGTGTCCAGAGTAGCCAAGATTTAGATTGCTTTGTTGTAAAGCAAGCTGCTTTTGATTTGCTTTCTTAATAAGATTCGAACATACCAAAAGAGTTTTCGGATATTGGAGACATAACTTGCTCTCGGCTGAAGAGTTAGGGACTTCTGCCAACACTTAAGCTTTGCCGATAAATCACATGTGGCAGCTTATATAATAGGCTTGGGCTTTATATACTGTATCTGTAAGACAGTGGCATGTAAAAATCTTAATGGGAACAACATGCTCCAATCTGAACAAATTTCACATTGGCCCAGGACTGTACTTTTATAGAACAGTCTAGGCAAAGTGAGTTCATATAAGCCTCTATGGCAAGTTCTTATTTTCATTAAGTCGTGGCTGTCCACCAGCTCCTCTTTTTTAAAAAAGGAAATTGGAAATTGAAAGTCTCTGAAAAACTTGGATAAAAATGGTTATCTACCTGCGGAAAATCACACCGGGTTATATAAGATTATTGCAGGTAAGATATTTTTTCTTTCTCTCCCTACCATCTTTCACTTTTTACTTACACTTCTTCAGGGCTACTGTTTTGGGTCACATAGCAAAAGAATATTAAATTTGGTACAGCCAATTTTCCAGCCATCAATGGGCATCTAATTAAATTTCTAGGGGGATGCCTTGATTATCAATCTGGATAACTGGCATTATTCTACATTGCCCAGAGCAAAATGTGTGTATTTTGTTATTGTGTTTTCAGAATTTTCTTCTTTCTTCTAGGTTTTTAATTACAAACATTTATTTAGGCTGAATTCATTACCTACTTAGCCCCAAATAAACCCCCATTATATTTAACAGGAATTACTTCTGAGTACAAGAACTTTTAAAATTATCTATTCGCAGACATTCTGGAACACAATGCCACACTATTAGAAAGTGAAGGAAATGTAAATAATTCTAATTATAGTGAGGTTCCTAAAACATTAACACAGTTGAGTAGTAAAATATTTCTGCCTTAATGGAGTATGATTTGAATATTTAAAATATCAATGCAGAAATCAGACTTGTGGAAAACCTTTAATTTTTCTAGCTTTCCCACAGATAGGATTCTACAACAATGCAGAAGAATACAATAGATGCAGGGACAATTTGAATGAAGCAGCTTTTACTGTGATTCATCACATTTCATGGCCTTTAGAGCACCTACCATCTTCTTAATCAGGAAGTCCCAGAGGTGCCAGTGGGAGCGGGGATCATATGCTCAAAATGGCAGTGCGCTGGTTTCTATGGCAATTTAATATAGAATGACTTTCTGGTCACCTTGCACGCCTCCACCTCTTATTAACTGGAATTCTCACATTGTAGTCTCTGTTCTGCATGTCTGTATGAATTTCTGTTCATAATACATTAAAGCATCAGTGACATTCACCAAGGCTACAGCCATAAACTCCCCTCCCTTATGCTTACTCACAATAGTCAGAATGAACTGGAGTAAAAACTCTTTATAAAAAAACCTTTCCCAGTGCCCATCAGCAATGGGGACATCTAGTTTGGTCCAGTGGTGAAGGTGCTGGCCTAGAGATCAGGAGACTGGGAGTTCTACTCGCATGAAAGCTGGCTGGGGGACTTTAGGCCAATCTTTCTGTCTCGGTCCACCTACCTCACAGGGTTATTATTGTGGGGAAAATAGGAGGAGGAAGGAGTATTAGGTGTGTTTGTCGCCTTGAGTTACTTATAAAATAATAAAAGGAGGATAAAAATCTAATAAGTAAATACAGCAATAACTCTTGGTGACACTAGCAATTCATTCCAGCTTCTCATTTGGAAAATCAGAATAAAGCCCATATTCCATAACATTTACATGACTACCACATATGGGATTGGGATTTTCTTTTTTTCTTTTAAAAAAAGGATGCTGACCCTAATCTGTGGCAGGGCACTCTTGTTCAGTGCTCTAAGGCCACACTTTAAATTAGACTCAAGACGCAAGGCAGCCATTCTGCTCCAACCACTGAAGACAGATCGGATCCGGTATATGTAGAAATAATCAGATCCCAAAACAAAGGATTACATAGTAAATAGACCAGGACCTCTGAAAACCAAAAAGGGAACAATTTGGGAAGATGGGGTTTGAGAAAACCGGTGAAGCAAAGCCTCTCAACTGGGAACTGAGGTAGGACTGAGCATGCTCAGTAGCCAGAGAATATGCCATCTTAATTAGAAAAGATAAATGGAAAACCAAAGGGAAAAAGTGGATATTGCAAGGCTCTGTGGCAGGAATTCCCATGCAGATGGTTAGGAGACTCCAATAAAGGAGAATATGTATAGCTCAGGATGGAAATGAGGGGTCCTTTGTGCTCTCTGAGCTTGGTTGTTTTTTTGTAGACGTCTCATTACCCAAGCTAGGTAACATCATCAGTGGTAGTGAAATGTCTACAAGAAAACAACTAACCTCAGGGAACACCAAGACTAGGCAGCTGGATTGTTTTCACACAAGGGCTCTTTGGTATTCCAGATACTAATCTGTTAGCTTCATCTTCTCGCATCTGAATGCTTCAACGGGGAATTTGCTTTGCCTTCTTGCAGACCCAAGCAGCTGGGAAGTTAGCCATCAACCCCATGGATACACTGATACATCAGGCGGCCCTGTTCTTGGGTTTGTTTGGGACCAGCATCTCTACCTACAGCTTAATGCAGCTGGCTCAGAAGAAGAGGAAACCTGTGGATTTTTAATCAGATTTTGGATCTCAAGCCAAAGAGCTAAGCCTGAGCAGCACCCATTGATTTTCACTGTCACTTTCAGAGATAACTCCACTGGCAGAAAGGTGTGCAGAGAGTGTCATCCTCTGCTGTGAATACAAATCCTCTCAATTTGTATTCCGCAATATTTCTTGAAAGGTGGAAGAAGAACCTCAATTATCTCCCCCCTCCGGAAAACAAACTAACAAAAGAAGAAGAGCTAGAAGAAGGAGGGAGGGAAGCATTGCATTTTATGGCAAGATGGATTCCCCAGGACAAGTGATGGATTTCTTTTTGCTGAGCTTAATACACGCAGAAAGATATCTGTATATACACACATCAGTTAAAATCTCATCTAGAGCAGACAGACAGATTGCCAAGTAGAACTGCTTTGTTATTATTCTACCAAATTATTTTGGGCAGAAAGATTAACAGGACAAAAGGGGAGCAACTGAAAGGCTGAAGAAAAATAAGAATGCCTTTCCCCTTCCTCTTCGCACACGAACTGATTGCCATGATTTGGCACCACCATTTCAGCTGAATGCCTGGACCTCAAATGCCAGAGGAAAGTGAAATGGATGGATGCATGTGTAACACTCTGCGCAAAAGATAAACCATATATTAACAGGCAGTTCTATGCAAATGGATGGTTGGTTCTGTGCTGTGTTTTGGGCATGTATGGCAGGGATATAAGTTAGTGCTTAGTGCTTTTAACAACCTCTCTGTTCTGTAGTCATATAGATAATAGTTCTCAGACACAAAGTCCAGTGCTACATCATTTTGTGACAGCTGAAATCATAGGGTTGACCAAGCCTTAGAAGTCATCTAGTCCAGGGGCCCCCAACCTTTTGGGCACCAGAGACTGGTTCCGTGGAGAGAGGTTTTTCCGTGGATCGGAGGGGGCGTGGTTTCATGTGTTGCCTGCATGCAGTGGATGGGGCTTCGCTTGTTTGAGTGGCCGGGTTTCTGGCATGCCGCGGACGGTGCTGGTCTATGGACCTGGGTTTGGGGACCCCTGATCTAGTCCACCCTCTTCTGTTACCCTTTGAACTAATACAGACAGGAAATCAAAATACTTGGTTTTGTAATAGCACTACCTTTATTGTAAGTCTTTTGTAAACCTTGCAATTCTGAAAGTACTTCTCCCTTCCCTGCCTTTACTTTCTAGAGAACTAGTGAGAGTCCCTTCTGAGATGCTTTCTTCATGCCCATTCCTCCTTTGGACTGAGATTTCTCTTATCAGATTGCTGTCTAGGCTGTGGCTCTTCCTCCTGTCCCCCAAGGTTATTCTCACAGCCCATCATGTCTTCAGGATCCATGAGTGTATCTCTAACAGGTGACTATCCAGCCTGAGCAGCAGCTTACCCTACAAAAACAGTCTTCCATGGACACAAACAGATATGTGGAAGATGAGACTGAATTTATTTGGGGATAATTGTAACTGAAAGTTGTATGATGATTTAGTTTCAGGTTACTACTTTAGAAGAAGGAGAGCAACATATTAGATGGATAACTATCACTTTGAGGTAATCTGCAGACCCAACCTTCAGTCAACGTTATGGTCAATGTTATGGTCATAACATACCTCCGGTTATGTTATGGTCAATGAATCTTGAATCTTGTATCAATGAGAAACTGAGTAGCTCTTTCTATGCATCCCATTTACTACAATATGAAACAAATCAGGATAGCAACCAGATACCCTGTGCAAAGATTGGTTCATTGTAAATTTTTTTAAAAAAAAAAACATGATTTTTTTTGTACTCATCATTGTTGTACTTTCTTTGTTAATGGTACAAATCATTTCCTTTGTAAACAGTATTTATGTTTAACCACTGTGGGTCATTGTACACCTCTGTCTTTCTTTAAAAAAAAACAGAATTGCCTAATGCATTATTATAAATCATAAATAGATTTGACATTACAACCTGCTGTATTTTTTTCCGCCACGTTTGAGAACAATTGTGAGGAGTTAGAGAAATTAGAAAATTGGTTTTTAAGAGATTCTTCTCAAGAAAATTATCTAATGCATTAAATTTAATTCCCCACCCAAGCCCACAGTTTATCATGTTTAATTCCTTGCCAAATAATCCTTTATTCATTCTTCATTCTCAGGGAAGTTAGCAAACTTTAAATGAATCCTCTGGCGATATTGGAATGTTTTACAATGGAAAATAATACATCTTGTTATATGAGACAGATTGTTATTATTCCTTAAACAAATGTACACTGTTTTTGGATTGGATTCAGAATTTCAGAGGTCATTTAGGCCAATGTCCAGCCCCTATTTAGTGCCGGAATCCAAATGCAAGCATTTCCGACAAACAGCTTTTCGGTTTCCATTTGAACACCTCCATTGAAATCCATAATTTCTCTGGGTCATTGGCTCCACTATGGAATTTTGTTAGGAGATTTTTGCTAAAATTCAAGCAGGATCTCCCTTCTTTTGTAACTTATATAACTATTATAATTTGAATTCCTTACTTTGTCTCCTGCATCCTGGCATTAGGATGATCAGATCTTACCTTGTGTTGGGGCTTATTTAGCATGTATTTTAGTGGTGCAAAAGTGAAGATTGAAAAAGTCATGAAATGTCATTTCTTATTTAGAAGAGAGACACATTTTCTGTAGGTGAAGCAGATCCTGCACTTCATCTGCTTCCAAGCCTCAGAGGCAATAAAAGCAATATTTCATCACACGGCAGGTTGACTTGTGTGAATGTGCATTTGTTTCACTTTGTTAAAGTTCTAATCCTTTGGGAGAAAGTTTCTAATTACAAAATAG